GTCTCCCGCAGGAAGTCAGGTGGGGCGGACGTGGGGTCCAGGCCCGACTCGACAGGGCTGTTTGTGGCCCAGGTGGACAAGAGGCCTCTGTCCCGGCCCCTCCACCCACCTGCCCGCCCCCCACAGGGAGCACAGAATTCCCGGAAAGGCCAGGGGCTGGCTGGGGCTTCAAAGCTAGCCTGGAGGCTCCCACCCCACTCGCAGTGGGAGGAGGGTGAGGGATGGGGCGTTCACTTCCCCACAGCAGGAGAGAGACTCCCGCACACTCAGGGATCACAGCCCCATCCAGGGGCTTAGAGATGGAGGCAGGCTCGCCATCACCCACAGAGGTACAAACTCGCATGCAGACTCCCAGCCACACACAGAGAATATAGGCTGACCAATACGAACACGCGCAGATGGCACATGGAGAGCCCAGGCCATGGGACAGCCACATGTAGCCACACAGAGTGACTTAGTCTGATAAGTATCATCACCCACTGAGCCGCACACAGAGATCACAGACGGATGCAGTGATAGGCTCACGCTGCTTTACAGCCACTACAGACTCACAGACATCGTCACCCATGGACTCACAGCCACACCAAAGAGAACCAACAGGCAAATCACACACAGACTCACAGCCACACACGGAGCCAGAGCACACAGACAAATACGATTCCACAGAGCCGACAACATCATACACAGGCCCAGCATCTCCAACACACGTGATTCCAGGTTCAGATGACCCTGGAGGCCAACGTCCAGGTTCAGCCTCTATCATGGTACCTCTATGCATGTGAATTTGTGTATGAACTTGCGACCACATACAGCTCTGGTCACAGAGAGAGAGGCACCCACAGGCAGACACGATTGTACAGACAGAGAAGCCGCAGTTACAGACACGTGCACAACTGCATTCAAGCAGATAGGTGCACACAGCCGTGTATACACAGCTATTCACACAAATCAAGTCGGGGAAGACACGCACAGGGAGTGCATATGTAGGCGCACAAACTGGAAAAACAGGGATGCAGAGACTACACTCACTATCATTACAAAGAGGAAATGCAGAAAATACACCTAAAGCTGCATGAAGAGGAAACAAGGGAACATACACTGGCACCAGAAGAAATGCCCTTAGGGAGCACACACCTATAGCCACTCACCGAGGAGAGATGCAAACATGGTGCCAGAGAAGAAAGACACACAGACATCGGAGACACACACACAGAGGAGAGACAGATAAACACACTTCTCACCCACGAGCATTACAAAGGAGACACATAAGCACCCAGGGAACACACACACACACAGCCCCATATAGATGAATTGCGCAAGCAGATGGGACCAACACACGGTTGTCAAAAACGAAACACACGAGTTGGATAGGCAGCGATAGACACAAGACACAACCAGGCAAGTAACATAGTAAGACACACGTGGAACTCACATACATGTGTTTGTTGCTGGGAACATGTACAGGTAGCTGAGATACCCTCAGGGTATTCATACACAGGCGCGCGGGCACAAGCCAGCGGGTGCACACACACACACCACTCCACCGTCTATCCCGGCCTACTCCATGTCTCTCGTCTCTCTCCTCTTCCCCCCTGAGAGCCATTAAACATCTGTGCTTCAGGCCAGCTAGGGAAAGAGACACCTGTCAGCAGAGGCCTTGGCCCAAATGACTAAGGGGCGGGGGACGGGGACTGGCTAGGCAGGTGTCTAGATTCCAAGAAAAGTTTGAAGTGTCCCATCCAAAGAACTAGTGAAACTTCAACAAAAAACAGATGCCCTCACCCACCACCTCCCAGAGCAGCTTCCTCCTCTGATCATTGTCCTCCCCTCCAAGGGCCAGCCCTGCCCTCCAACATTGCCCAGCACAAGGCCACCTGGGCACACAGCTGGAGGTCAATGAATGCTACTTATCAAGTGTCATATTATCATCATTATTTTTATTTCTGCCGAGTGAACTCTTCTAGGGGAGGGGCAAACCTTCATCCAGCTCTGCACCCCATAGCTCAGCTAAGTTTCAGGGCATTGCAAATAGCAGGTGTTCCACATATGCTGGTAGGAGGAAAAACAAAGGGAAAGTGAAATCTGGCTGCAGAGGCAGCCTGCTTTAGAAGGAACAGATGTCTTTAAGCTTGACCGAGGCCTTGAGGCCGTGCCAGGGATAAGAACGCTTTGTTCGTTCATCAAAGTAGGGCCCTTTCTCAGGGTCATTTAAGGCTTTTGTTGGTTCATTAAAGCAGACCCTCGTGGGACACTTGGGATTCCTATCGAATCTATTAAAAGTCAGTTTAGGATCTTGTCAGTTCTTCTAAGCAGACCCCTGCTTTTCATTAAAACACTACTCAGCAGTCTTCAGGGGAGGGAGCCACGGAGCAAAGCAGTTAACAACGCAAGCTTTCCCAGCTCTGCCACTTAGGAGCTGTGCGGCCAGGAGCAAGTTTTGAAACCTCACTGTTTCAGCTTCCCACAGGGCTTACTACTGCCTAACTCAGGGCCATGGGGAAGATTGAATGAATTAATACAGGTGAAACGCTAAGAACAATGCTTGACATACAGTAATCGCTCAATAACATCTTTGTGAAAGGAATTAATGAACTCTTCTCTGCCAGTGAAGGCATCCCCCCACTGAGCTGGGTTTGGATTCTAATCTCTCCTTTCATGCAGGCTCCCCACGGATAACACTTCCGTCCCTCAAAGCAGCCCCTGGACGGCAAGGCTTTTTGAGTCAGTGTCTGGTCCCCTGCACCTGGACCACCCCCGTCTTTCCCTCACGTGGTAAGATGCCCTCCAGCACAGGGCCGGCCTGGCAGCTCCCCTCTCCTTGACCTTTTCAGGAGGCTGAGGGGAGGACACCTTTACACTCAGTGGGGTGCTGGGTGGGAGCTGCAGGCGGACACCCCACTTCGGGAAGAGCCTGGGGAGTTCAGAGCCTGGCTCCTGTCCCCCAATCCCCCCAGCCCTGCTGGAGGAAGCAAGTTTCTTTGCAAAAAATTAAACATCCTCTTTGTGAGAGGCAAGAAAACAGGAAGCATCCCACAGGGTGAACATGGGCCCCCAATGCCTGGCACCCCCTCCTCTCTGTGGAGCAGCGCCTGGTGGCTTGAACCCTTGCTTTCTCACACTTGCTCACCTCTGCAGGGGAGCCATGTTCCCACCGCCCCCCACAATGCCCTTGAACTCCGCTGAGAAGCTCTGACTTCCTCCCTGGCTCTCCAGGGTCTCTGCGTGGCTGTCTACACCTCCTCCCAGGGCCCCACATAAATGCAGAGCACACCACTACGGAAAGAGTGAAGGAACAAAGCAACAAAAGGGTGAATTCAGCAAACATCTATTGAACACCACCTGTGTGCCGGGCCCTATTCTAGGCGCCAGGGAGGCAGCAGTGAACAAAACAACAGAAACCCCTGCCTAGCGAAGCTCACATTTCTAAGGAATGATGAATCTATCGTTCAGTTGTTTGAATACTCGCCAAGCTCATTCCCACTTCAGGGTCTTTGCACTTGGTGTTCCCTCTGCCTGGAATGCTCTTCCTCCAAATACTCCTAGGGTGTGCTCCCCTTCAGGTCTCAGCTCAAATGTCACCTCGTCAGAAAGCCTTCCCTGAACACACTGTCTAAAATAGCAATTCAATCCCTGTTACTCTCCAATCCTTTCACCCTCCTTTATTATCCTTCATAGCTTTTATCATCACCTGACATAACATATTTATATACTTAATAGTATATTTCATTTAGTAGTTACTTTAGTAAGTAGATATGTATAGATACTAGCAGATTTATATATATCAGCATATACATTTATATAAGATATGTATATTTTATACATAAACTATACAAAAAAGCATAGATATATTTCCACATGACATATTTATTTGCTAATATATAATTTATATACTAGTAAATATTAGACATCACTATATAGTTCTATATCATCACATACGCAGTAAATGGCATATGTTTACACATAGAATATATATATATATATTCTCCTTTGTCTCCTTTTCCTCATCTGTAAACTGGGGAAAACACAGCTATTATTAAAAATGAAATTATGTAAACTTATAATTAAATAAATTAGATTTTAAAAGGTGATACTCAAAACTCATCACTTCTTAATTATTATTTTACTACATTTCATTATTTCTATGCTCCTGAGATCATTTATCCCTATTTTAATTGTACTGTAGAAATAATACACAATGGTGCACTAGTGCATCTCTTCCAAGACTCTGTGTTCGTGACTACACCTTGGTAAGTTGAAATTTGACAAGATGATAGTATGTAAACCATGGAAACTGGCAAATGTTAGAAATCAGGGCTTCCTCTCCCTCTCCACCTAAAGAGCTGATTGTTAACCATTTACCAGCACACCACTGAGAGCACTCAGAAGAGTGCCTGGCACATGGTAAACGCTGTAACAAATGTTTCCATTACTATATTTGCTTGTGCACTGGGTCGAGATGCAGTCTTTTTTCTAGGTCCGAGTTAAAAGTGTTTGAAGAACACAGAATTACAGTGTGCGGAACTACACCTATTTAATCCTGCCAATGACTCTCTCTCGAGTCTGAACTACTTGTCATCCCCATTTTACAGAAGAAGAAACCGCAGGTCTGAGACGGTAACAGTCAGAAGGCGCTATCAGTTAGCGGAAGTGGGATTTGAAATTGCAGCCGAGCAGCTTCTGCGCGCTCGCGCACTTAATTAACGCACTCTCCTTCCTCTCAAATTCGCTACCCCAGAGGTGATTGCACTTCGCGGCGTGCGAAAAATAAATAGGTGCCGCCGCGCGCGTTGTATCTTGGGAAATGTAGTCCACAGGTTCAAGGAATACTATTGTACAAGAAGGGAGGGGCGGAGAGTACGTCGATTTTCGCCCTGTAACAAAAGAACAAAGTCAGTTCTCGTGCCTCGCGACGTTTCAGCCATGCCGTGCGCGACTTTGGCGCTTTACTCGCGCCCGTTGCATGCTGGGAACGGCAGTTCGCCCGACGGGCTACGTCGGCGCGAGATGGCGGAACTCACGTGGTACGTTCAGGTCTGGTCCCCGCTTGGCGCGAGCTACCGCGTTCCACGATGACAGGCTTTCCACGCTCTGGTTGCCCTTAGGCATGCGCGACAGACATTCGGATCAACTAGAATACAGACTGAAGCCCTACGACTTCTCACCGGTTTGCGCTCTCGCCGAGGCTCCGGCTGCTTGCGGACCGGCCTCCTTCGTTCCGCTTCTCCCCACTCCGAAAGTTTAAGGTAGGCCCTGGGGCGCGGAGGACTTGGGTCCCGGCCAAGACGGTTGAGGCATGCCTGCGTTGTCCCGCCGGTGAGGGAAGGAGGCAAGTTCGCCCTCGGCGCTGCAGCTGCGTAGTCCGGGCAGCTGGCACCAGGTAGGCTCCAGACCCAAGGTTTGTCTGGAGAAGGGGACCACTCATGCGGGATGGTCTGGGGGTGGGCGGGGGGGCGCAGAGGTCCAGATACCGGCGGAGCCGGTCTTGTGGTCCCACTGGGGACTTGGGCTTTCAGGTAATGAGGAGGAGGGACCGGCGGTGTAGCCAGAGGGCTGTTAATGGGTGGGTGTGGAGGTTTGGTGGGCTGCGTGGGTGTAATAGAGGTCTGGTGGGAGTGTTATTGGGGAATCGGTGAGGGCTGAAAGGCGTGTTTTAGTCGATGTGTTCAAGGGGGCCAATGGGATGTGTTCGTTAATTAATGAGGGGATGGTAGAGTGGGCAACTAGAAGATAATGGGAGGTAGGTAGGAGTGTGATCCTTGAGGGACTGATGGAGGTATGATATTCAACGGGTTAAAGAGTGGTGGGGCATAGTGATTGAAAGGATAATGGTGCGACCGTGGAGGGAATAATAGAGGCCAGTAAAAGTCATGATCAAGGAACTAATGGGAGTAGTGATCAAAGAAGAGAGAATGAGAGGCTGAAGGGGTGTTGTAATCAAAAGATTTTAGTGGGTGATGATGGTATGATCATTGAAGAATTAATAGGAGCAGAGTGAGCAAAGAGGGGGTAATAGTAAGCTGTTGGGTGTGATCATCAAGTGATTGTGGGTGGGGATAAAGGTGGGCAGGAGGGGAGAATGTGGAACTCATGTATGATTATCAGGGATTAACATGAATGTGTGGTAGTGAAGGGTTACAAGGGGCTAGTGGTGTGATCTATGAAGGATCAGTTGGAGGGCCAGGTTAATGGGGACTGATAAATCATAGTAATTGAGAGCTCGATGGGGGACTAATAGGCCATGATTCTCCAGGCATTAATGGGGGGGCGGTGATAAAGATGTAGTAATAAGGGAATTATTGGGGGCCTAATCACTTCAGGGGAGAGAGATTAAGGAGGTGGGGAGTGCAGTGAGGTAGTATGAGGATAATGGGGTGAAAACAAGGGATTAATGGGGGGCTAGTAGGGCTATATGACTCTAGGGGCAATGAGGAGAGCTGGGAAGACAGTAAGATGTTATTGGGGGTAAGGTGGGCAGAGAAGGGTTGATAGTGGGGTTTAATATGTGGTGTGTGAGTGACAGCAGTGGGAGGTGGACAGGGTCAGTAATGGGTCATCTATGAGATATGGGTTGGGTTTGTGGGATCTTTGGGGGGGATCTGTGGGGTTAGTGATGGAGCCTGAGAGCTCAGTGGTGGGGTCCTTCAGGCTCAGTGAGGTCATTGGGGTTAGTGACTGGGCTCCAGCCTTCCCACCTGTTGAGTGAGCTGTCACATGGATCAGATGAGCCCGGTTTAGTTTTTGTGGTTCTCGCTGCCCTGCAGAGGTAGGTGATGGCCCACTTACTGATATAGGGCGGCGTCAGCTTACTGTTGGCAGGTCCCTGGGCAAACAGTGTGTGAGATGGGACGGACGTCAAAGGATAAGCGGGATGTCTACTACCGCCTAGCCAAGGAGAATGGCTGGCGTGCCCGCAGTGCCTTCAAGCTGCTACAACTTGACGAGGAATTCCAACTCTTCCAAGGTCCCCACTTGGCGGGCGGGTCACGGGGGGATAGGGTGGGCGAAGGGAATAGACAAGTGGGCTAGGCCTACAGAGCTCCCTGTGGTAGGTGGGCTGACTTGGAGGGTCTGTGGGGCAGGGGCCAGGCAGGAAGATGGGCAGGTATGTGAAAGGAGCTGGGCATCTAGGCAGCAGATAGATACGGGTGCTCCCCAGGGGAAAGGGGTGAACTTTGTAGGGTCCCAGGTTGGAGAGGTGGGTGCAGCTGACCACTACACCTTCCTGTGTGTGCTCAGGTGTGACGCGGGCAGTTGACCTGTGCGCGGCCCCGGGCAGCTGGAGCCAGGTGCTGAGCCAGAAGATTGGGTGAGTGTGGAGTCCCAGATGGGAGAGTGGGAGGGCAGGTTAGATGGAGGGTGGACCAGGAGTGATAACTGGGCTGACATGGACCATGTTGTCCACAGGGGCCAGGGGTCCGGCCACGTGGTGGCCGTGGACCTTCAGGCTATGGCTCCACTACCAGGTGTGTTACAGATCCAGGGGGATATCACCCAGGTGAGAGCATGGCTTGGGGTGTTGGGGTGTATCCTGGGCAAAGGCCCCCCAACCTGTGGGCTACGGCAAGTGGAAGAGAGAAAGAGAAAGACAAACAGACCGAGAAAGACAGACAGAGATGGAGTAACTGAGAGAACCCAAGAGAGTGTAACAGCAGAGAAACAGAGCCAGCCTGTCATCATCACAGAGAGACAGCAAAAAATGATCCCAGAAATGGAGCCTGGTCTTAGGCAAAGCCTGAGAATTTGGCTGACCCAGGGGCTGCGGGCCAGGGCCAAGGGCAGGTGGGGTTAGAGGGCTGTGGAGGGGGTGCTTTGGGGCCACTCATCCTCCCTCTTTTCCATAGCTGTCCACTGCCAAGGAGATCATCCAGCACTTTGAGGGCTGCCCCGCGGACCTAGTGGTGTGCGACGGGGCTCCTGATGGTAAACAGCAGGGATTGGGAGGCCAGGCGGGGGCCCTATGTGTGTCCTTCTCTGTATGTCCCGCCTCTGTTGGCTTCTTTTACTGCCTCTCCTCTCCACTGTCAGCTGTTCCTATATCTAGCAACTTCTCCCTACCTCTGTTTCCTATTCTCTGCCTCTGTCTTCTCCCTCCCCGTACTCTACCATTTGGGTTTTGTCCACCCTTTCATCTTCTTATTGCTCATCTCTCTGCAACTGTCCAATTCCATCTTAGTGTTCACTCTTTTTCTTTTTTTATTTTCAGTTAGTTAGCCATCCATCCATTCAGCACATTTACTGAGCACCTGTTGTGTGTCAGGCACTGTTGTACATGTTGGGAAAATATTTGTGAATAAAATTCTGCTAATCTCTGACCTTATAGAGCTGGTGTTCTAGTGGGAGCAGACAGAAGAGAAACAAGTGATTGAGCTTTGTAGCCTGTCAAAAGGTGATAGGTACCATGGGGATGTCAATGAAAAGGAGAGGGAAGAGGGGAGTACCTGTAGGAATTTTAAATAAAGTTGGGAAGGCCTCATTGGCTTTAGCACAAAAACCTAAAGGAGTCAAGGGAATGGGCCAGGGGCACGTCTGGAGGAAGAACAATCCAGGTAAAGGAATTGGCCTATGCAAAGGCCCTGAGGTAGGAGGGTGCTTGGCATGTGTGAGGTATAGCAAGATCAGCGTGGCTGGATCAGAGTGAGTGAGCAGGAGAGTTGTAGGAGGTGAGAACAGATCCTTGTGTGGATCTTTCTGGGCCACAGTGGTGACTTTGGCTTCTTCACTGAGATGAGAGCGTGGGGAAAACCATGAGAGGGTTGTGAGCAGAGGAGGGCCGTGCCTGACTTGGGTTGTGACAGGATCCCTCTGGCTGCTGTGAGCAGTGTGAGGGGTGAGACCTGGGGAGGGGAGGCCGCTGCAGTCGTCCAGGTGGAGTTGAGAAGATTTGCTAATGGCTTAAATGTGGGTGTGAGGAGAGAGTGGTGGGTGGGTGTGTGTCAAAGGTAACTCGAAGATTTTTGGCTTGAACAACTGGAAGGATCAGATGAGATGGGAAAGATGATGGGAGGAGCAGGTTTGGACAGGAAGATCGGGAGTTTGTTTTTGGATGTATTGAGTCTGAGATGTTCGTTCTGATCTGAGTCTGGAGTCAGGAGGAACAGTCTGGACTGGAGGTAGAAATGATGACAACAATATTCGCGCCTGAGGTGGTTTTGAGAATAAAAATGAGTGCCTAAGGGTTAGGAGCTCAGAGTACGCATCTAGTTGGCAGGTAGTATTTGCATGCAGAACCTTAGCAGCAAGAGAGCCTAGGAAACGTTTTTAGCTCTCTAACCTCTCTGGGAGGTTAGAACAGGAGCATAGCTAGACTGGAAGGCCCCCTAATGCTGTTCTCTTGATGCAGTAACCGGCCTCCATGATGTTGATGAGTATATGCAGGCCCAGCTCCTCCTAGCCGTGAGTAACCCTGGCTGCCCCTGCCTCAGTTTGGCCCCCTCCTGGCTGTCTCCACCTCAGCCTTAGCCATCTGTCCTGCCCACAGGCTCTGAATATTGCTACACATGTCTTGAAGCCAGGGGGCTGTTTTGTGGCCAAGGTAAGACTCAGGGAACCTGGTAGGGGGTAGAGAGGGGTCTCCAAAGGTCATCCTCATGCCTTCATCTCTGCCTCCCCACCCTGCAGATCTTCCGAGGCCGGGATGTGACACTGATCTACAGTCAGCTGCGTGTCTTCTTCTCCACCGTGCTCTGTGCCAAGCCCAAGAGCAGCCGGAACTCCAGCATTGGTCAGTGGGGTGGAGGGGCCAGGCTGGGGGGTGCGCATCTCAGGGACCCATCCGCACGGGGTGGTGCTGGCAGTCGCCCCTCACTCCACCTTATCCCCACAGAGGCCTTTGCTGTCTGTAAGGGTTATGACCCCCCTGAGGGCTTCCTGCCGGACCTGACCAAACCCCTGCTGGACCACTCTTACGGTGAGAGCCAGAGCCCTGGGCCCCATCCCTGGGGAGAGTCTGTCCACCAATGGAATTTATGTCCCAGGAGGGCCCTCAGCCCCACCCCCTGGTGGAAACTCTGTACCTTAGGGGAATTCTGTCCCAAAAGGATCCTCAGCCCCATCCTCTGGAAATTCCACCCCCGTATGGATATTTTGTCCCAGGAGGATCTTTAACCCAGTGGCCTAGTGGTAACTCTTGGACCTGGTGAAAAGTCTGTCACAGGAGGATCCTGAGTCCTACCCCAAGGGAGACTCCACTTGTCTGCGGAGATTCTAGACTAAGAAGACTCAGTCACGCCCCAGGTGGAAACCCCACCCCTGTTTGGGAATGTCATCCTGTGAGGGCCTTCAGACTGGCCCCTAGAGGGAAAAAGCACAGAGCGGCTCTTGTGGCAGGCACACTTGAGTGAGACAAAGTCCAGACAGTATATGGCAGGTGGACATAAGTGCAGTCGGAGAAAAGTGGGTTGGGGGGGTGTGTTTTAGAACAGGTGATCATGGAGGGCTTCCCTGAGGAAGTGATCTGAACCAAATGAAGGATTTCTGGTAAAGGAGGGTAAGAGTAGCTGGTGGATACGTTGGGGAGGCCTCGGTACCCATCCTGGGTGCAGCCTGAGTCACGACTGTTCCCAGACACCCCAGCCCTGTCCTGCCTCATCTCTCCCTGCTTGTCAGATCCAGATTTCAACCAATTAGATGGTCCCACCCGCATCATTGTACCATTTGTGACCTGTGGGGACCTGAGTGCATATGATTCGGACCGCAGTTACCCACTGGATGTAAGCGCCCAGCCAACAGTGGGTGGATGGGGGGTGCTGTCCTAGGTTCCCAGGTCCTCACCACCCCCTGCCGATATGTGTCCCTGCAGCTAGAGGACGGCTCAGAATACAAGTATACTCCGCCCACGCAGCCCCCCATCTCACCACCATACCAGGAGGCCTGCACCTTGAAGAAGAAGGGGCGGCTGGCCAAGGAGATGCGCCCCCAGGACTGCCCCATCAGCACAGTGGACACGTTGCCCCAGTCCCTGGCCGCCCCACAGCGCCACACCCTGCTGGCCTCTGAGGTCTGGAAACACGGGCCCAGAGCCCTTAATGCCCTTTCTCTGTGCCCACAGTGACCCCCTCCTCGTGTGCCTCCTTCTGCCCCAAATCACATGGTTTCTGGGACAAACTTCTCTTCCCTGCCTCCCAATAGCTATAAAAGTCAATGGGTAAAACCAAGTACAGTGAACAGAAAAGCTTAGCCAAGTATCTGAGTCCCTTCTTTTTTTCTTGAGTAGGTGGAAGACAGTGAAATGAACTGTTCGCCTTAAGATGTTAAGGTAAATTTGCCTTTTTGTCTAAGAATTTGAGTAAATGGCACCTTTAAGAAAAAACTGAGTAAAATTTCACCTTTGAAATTTTTACATCAGCTGGTAAGATTTCAGCAGACCTTTACTAAAACACCTGATCTTATGTGCCAGGAACTGCTTTAAGGATTTTACATATTGAGGTACTCAGTAAACATTTATTGAGCACATGCTGTGTGCTGGGCATTGTTCTAGGTTTGAAGATAGAGCAGGGAATAACACAGACAAATATCCTGGCCGTCAGAGCTTCTAGTTTGGGAAAGAGGTGATAAGCAGTGACACAGTCTAAATGCAGGAGTTTCCACCCACACATACACAAACTATTTATCTTGACCTCTCTATATATGTACGTACACACACACACACACACACACACACATATATAAAATGTAAAAGTAATATGGGATATGAAGAAATTTTTAAAGCAGGGTAAAGAGGTCAAGAATTCTAGGAGGTGGCAGTTTGCAGTTTTTGAAAAGGTTATCATGGAAGGTCTCACTGAGGTAATGTTTGAGCAGAGACCTGAAGAAGATGAAGGAGGGAATCGTGTGTTTATCTAGGGGAAGAGCATTCCAGGGAGAGGAAATAGCAAATACAAAGGCCCTGAGGTGGAACCCTGCCTGGTATGTGAGGGAGCAGTGAGGAGCCAGTTTGCCTGGAACAGTCTGGGCTAAACCTATCAGTGCTGGAGGGCTTCGCACACTCAGGATACCACATTAGAGGACATCCCTGTCTGGCAATGGCTTTGCAGGTTATTCAGACCAAGTCTTCCATTAAAATAAGAAGTAAAAAAGACATCTTTAAAAAAATGAAATGGCAAATCACAATGGGAAGAGATATTTATAATCCCTATATATAGTATCCTTGATATTTAAAAAACTGCTATAAATCAGTAAGGAAAAGAAAATATGAGAATGGCCAGTAAGCACATGAAAAGCTGCTCATCAGGGAAATGCAGGCTAGAACTAAAAAGATTGACAATACTAAGCGTCTGGAAGGATGTGCAGCAGTTGGAACTCTTGAATACGCCCATGGCAGCATATAATGGTGTAGCCACTGGAAAATTGTTAGGCATTATCTGCTAAAGCTGCATGTGTGCCAGTTCCACTCCTAAGAAATGAGTACTAGAATGTTCCTAGCCAGCACTATTTGTAGTACCCCCAGACTAGATACAGCCCAAATATCCAATAGCTGTAGTATGGATCGTTAAATCCTGGTTTATTCGCAGTGGAGAACTACACATCAAAGAATGAACATTATATGTTTTATGCATTTTTCTGTGTGTTATGGTTCACAATGAAAGTAAAGGAAAAAACTTCAAAAAAATGTTAGTAGCTGAGCAAACAATGATTATAGTAGAAGACAGTGGGGAAACATATTTTGGTTTAAAACTTCCTTTTACTTTGACCTTTAGTTAGCTGGCAATCTGATAAGGACTCGGAAGCTGTTTGCTGTCAGGAAAACCAGAACTTGAGTTGATGAACTTGTTTTCAAATATCTCATCAACCGGTCCTGAACATACAAGCTCCGAGTGGGAACCTGCAGCAACCACCAGGAACACAGCGAGGAAAGAAACATCACGGAATGTCCGTCTGCACTGCAGAGGGGATTCTTGAGTGGGGTCTTGCCTCTTCTCTAAATCTTTCCAGCCGTGTCCTGATTATGTCCAGAATTTACCCTGAGAGCGGGGGTTCTTAACCTTGGTAGAAGTCAGGGTTATGTGTGGATTTGATGGAGGGATATATTACATCTTTATTTTCACTAAATATAACTGAAATTTTAGCTGTACCCCCGGATCTGAATGTTGGCGTCAAATCACAATAGTAAAAGCACTGCCTGCAACTTCCACCAATACAGATCACAGTTACTTTTTTATGTTATGTTACAGTCGTTGCAGGCATCTTAAAATATTGTTCACATTGGTCACTACTTTGAATAAGATCTTAAAATTTGATGTATTAATAAAAAAAGTTCATATAGCATCCCAATGTTGTTTCATTTTAACATGGTAACTATTTTTCTAGTTTTATTGAAATATAATTGATATAATGTGTAAGTTGAAAGTGTACAACATAATGATTTGATACATGTGTATATTGCAAGATGACTACCGCGGGTTTAATTAACATCTATCACCTCACATAGTTACAGTTTTTTTTCTTGTGATGGGAAGTTTTAAGATTTGCTCTCTTAGCAACTTTCAAATATACAATATAGTATTGATAAGTATAGTCACTATGCTGTATATTACATCCCCAGAACTTATTTATAACTAGAAGTGTTGTACCTTTTGACCACCTTCACCCATTTTTAGATTCCACATATAAGTGAGATCATACAGTATTTGTGTTTCTCTGACTAATTTCATTTAGCATAATACTTACCTCAGGGTCTGTCCACGTAGTCACAAATGGCGGGTTTCCTTTTTTATGGCTGAATAATATTCTATCATATGCATATACCGCATTTTCTTTATTCATTCATCTGTCAACAGATCCCTAGGTTGTTTGCATATCTTGGCTATTTTAGATAATACTGTAGTGAACATTGGGGTGCAGATAGCTCTTAGAGGCAGTGATTCCATCTCCTTTGTATATATACTCAGAAGTATATATTTGGGATACGGGGAATGCTGGATCATATGGTAGTTCTATTTAATATTTTGAGGAACCTCCATGCTGTTTATTTAGTTTCCATAATCCTGTGTATTTGAGCGTGTGTGTGTGTGTGTGTGTATGCACATGCACACACATGCTTTCAAAAATATTCTATGAAGGGGTCCACAGACTTGATCAGATCAGATGCCAAAGGGTTCCCCAGAACAATTTTTTTTTTTTAGCTATGCTGCATGGCTTTTGGGATCTCAGTTCCCTGATCAGGGGTTGAACCCACACCACGGCAGTGAAAGCCCAGAATCCTAACCACTAGGCCACCAGGGAACTCCCCAGAGCAAATTTTTTACATTAAGAACCCCTCTCTTAAAGGAATATCGGAAAGTCTGCCATGACTGCCGTCCTGAATTTCTATATTTTAGCAAACAGGAGCTGACAAACACGAGCTACATGGGCAGACCCAGCTTCCGCCGCAGCTTACTTGCTTATCTTTAGAAAATCACTGTTCTTTGTCCACACACCAGCCATTGACCTCAGGACTACCGACATCCCAGTCTGTGACCCCAGGTGTTTCTATACCTGACTTTGTGACCCTGGGAGTGTCCATACTGAGTCTAACCCCAGGGGGCCCCACACCACAGCTTGTTAACCCAGGAGTCTTATCACCCACGTCAGTATGACCACAGGAATGTCCACACCCCAGTCTGTGTGACTCCAGGAATGTAAAACTGAAGTATCCACACAAAAGGTGATGTGTCCACACCCATCACCATGTAAATTCAGCAGTGTCCACACTAGAGTCAGTGACGCCCCAGGAGTGTGGACAGCCCAGTTTGTATAATCCCAGGAGTATCCTCGTCTCAATTCCCAGGAGCGTAAACACACCAGCCTTTGGGACCCTGTGGGCATACTCATCTTGGGCTGTGTGTCCCTGGTGTCCACCCCCATCTGTGTAACGTCAGAAGTATACACCGAAAGTCTCTCTGACGGGAGCAGTGTCTAATTCCCAGTCTGTGCAAGCCAGTGGAGTCCATACCCCCAAGTGTGTGGCCGAGGAAAGGCCCACCCAGCCTAGGCCTGCTCTCTGAGCTCAGGAGTGCCCACTCTCCACCTGCGTGGCCCTAGTCTTGCGACTCCAGGAGTGTCCACGCCCCTCAGTGAGACCCCAGAATTTTCCACGCCAAAGTCAGTTTGTCCCCAGAGGTACATCCGTCCCAGCCCGTGTGTCCCCAGTGGGGTACTTACTTTAGTCTGAGTGACTCCTGGAGTGTTTCCACCCCAGCCTGTGATGACAGGATTGTTTATTCTCCAGTCTTTGTGACCCCAGGCTTTCCGCAACACAGCCTGTGTTACCCCAAAAGTGTACACGTCCTGGTCTGATGACTGCAGGTTTGTCAATTGCCTAGACTGTGTAACAACAATGGGTGTCCATTCCCCTGTCGCTGTAACCCCCAGGGTTACCACACCTCAGTCATTGTCGCCCCCCAAGGGCGTCTACAGTGTAGTCTGTGTCACCACAGGAGGGTGTACACTCCAGTCTGTGTGACACCTGGAGTATTCAAAATATAGTCTGTGACCCCATAAGTGTGCATATCCCAAAGCTTCTGACCGCAGCGTTGTAAAAACTCCAGTCTGTTTGACCACAGAGGTGCCCACTGCAAAGTATGTCAGTCAGCGGCAGTGCCCACGTCCCAGTCTGGGTGACTTCACCAGTGGCATATGTCAGGTTCTGTCACCATAGAAATGTCCACCCCCTCTGTCTGATCCCAGGAGTCTCCAGATGCCAGTGTGTGTCCTGAGGGAAGCACACCCCTAGTCTGTGTTACGAAAGCATTGTTTGTTTACACCCCAGTCTGTCACTGTTGGCTTTCCACCTGCCAGTCAGTGTCCCCTAGGAGTGATCATTCCTCAGCGCTTGAAACACCAGGAGTGTCCACACCCCAGTGTATGTAACCCCAGGAGGACCCACAGTCAGCCTGTGTTTCTCCAGAAGGGTCTACACAATAGTCTGTATGACCCCAGGATGATCAACTTTCTGTGTGACCACAGGAGTGGCCACCACCCAGTCCATGTGTCCCTAGGATGGTACACCCTTGACTGTGTGATCAATGAAGTCTCTATGCTCTGGGATCTGTGACCACCAGGGCGTCACTCCCCAGCCTGCAACTCCAGAGCTTTCTACTCGGTGTGGGAGCGAGGAGTGTCCCCACCTCAGTCTCTGTGGCCCCACAGGCTCATTTACTACGTCATCCCTGTCACCCTAGGAGTAGCTGAACTCCAGTCTGCATGATGCCACAAGCGTCCACATCCCGAACAAGGTGAGCAGAGGGGTGTCTACACTTGAGTGCGTGTGACCATAAACATGTCCTCCCCTTGTCTTTGTGACCCCAGATGGGTCCGGTGGGTTTTACCCTGGCTGTGTCCACATCCCAATGTTTGACTACAGAAACGTCCACAGCCCAGCCTTTGTGACCCCCCAGGAGTGTCCACCCCACAGTCAGAGTCCAGAAGTGGCAATGGCTTAGTCTGTGTGGCACCGTGAGTGTGATTATCTCAAACTGTGTGATCACAGAGGTGTCCACGCTCCAGTCTCCGTGGCCCAGGAATGTCCACACTTGAATTTCTGTGACAGAAGCAATGTCCAATCTCGAGTGTATGTGACCCAGTATTGTCCAAACCCCACAGTTGCTGGCACAGCGTGTCTATACCCAGTGCCTGTGGCCTCAGGAGGGTGTGCTCCCATGAGGGTGACCACAGGAGTATGAAAGTCCCATGCCTGTGACTGCTGGTGGGTCTACACTCCAGTCTGGGTGACCCAGGGGAGGATACCCCCCATCTGTGTGACCAAAGGAGTCTCCATGCTCCAGTGTCTGTGATCACAGGGGCGTTGGTCACCCATTCAGTGTGACTGGAGGAATGCCCACACCAAATTCGGTGTGATCACACCACTGTCCACCCCCATCTGCCTGTCCTGAGAGGCATCTCTGCTGCGGTTGGTGTGACCCCAGCAGAGGGCACACTGCAAGCAGCATGACTACAGAGGTCTCCTTCTGGATAAACACAGGCTGACTGTGGGTCCTCCTGGTGTTACATACACTGGGGCGTGGACACTCCTGCCTATGATACTCTAGCAGTGTCCACGCGACAGTCCTTTGACTACAGTGGCTCCCCAGTGTATGTGTCCTCAGTCACGTCATTGTCCCAGTCTGTGGTCCAGACCCCAAAGTTTGTGACTCTGATGGTGTCCAAAGTTGAACCTGTGTGAGAAGGTACCAGATCATAGTCCGTGTGACTCCAGGAGTGTCCACCCACCAATCTGTAGGAATCTAGGAGAACACATCCCAGCCCATGAGACTTCAGGAGTGGCCACGCCCCATCCTGCATGACCACACACCAGGCTGTGTGACGCCCTAGAGCCTCCACACCCGAGTGTGTGACCCCAGGAGGTCCACATTCCAATCAGTGTGACCCCAGGATTGCTTACGCCCAAATCTAGTGACCTCATGAATGTCTACACTGTCATCTGTTTGATCCCAGGAGTGGCCACACCCCAGGCTATGTGACCCTGGGAGGATCCATACACCAGTCAGTGTGACCCCAGGAGGGGCTACATCTAGAGAAAGAGTAATCCAGACAAAGGGGGAAAGCCTGTGCAAAGGCCCTGAGGCAGGAGCATACCTGGCACACTTGAGGTAGAGTGGGAGCAGAGTGAGCGAGGCGCGAGTGGCAGGAGGTGAGGTCGGAGAGGTTACAGGGCCTGGTTCTGTAGGGCCTCTCTGGCCACGGGGAGGACTTTGTCTTTTTTTCTGAGAGAGATCTCAGAGCAGGGCTCTGAGCAGAGGAGGGCCGTGGGCTGACTTGGATTGTAACAGGACCCTCTGGCTGCTGTGAGGACAGACTGGAGTCCTTAAGTCAGATCAGAGATCAGGCTGAGCCATGGAGGGCAGGGGCCCCAGGAGCCAGGGCCATAACCACTTGACAGGCCTCCCCAGGGGGCTGTACATTCTCACTGGGGCATATGGTAGCCCTCCTCCTGTTCCCCAGAAACACAGGATATATTGGGGAGAAGTCATGGGGATTGAATGAAAATGACCTCACTGTGGGACCTCAGGCCAGCCTTGCCTCTCCCTGGATTTCCACCTTTGGCAGATGAGTATAATAATTCTTGCCCTGCCAATCTCTCCAGCATCTCTACTCACCTATTCTCTCCAACCACACTAGCCTCCTTGATGTTCCTCAAACACACCAAAGCATTATTCCCACTTCAGGGCCTGTGTGCCTGCTGTTTCCCCTGTGCTTGAACACTTGTCCCAAGATATGTACATCGTTCACAGTTACGTGGCTTCCCCCTTCGTTTTCTTTTCTCTGCT